CACTGCCACCAGCACAGGGGACAATGCTGCTTCTGCCCCTGCCAACCTCCACCATCCCATCTGCTCAGGCCGTGGCCACCACGAGCCCGCTTCAGGCCCGGGTTGCCTTTCCACCCGCGCAGTGGCCAGGCCCCGGTTGCCCCTCCGTGCCTGCAGTGGCCGTGTTTGACTCCCCAGGTGTTTCAGCGGAGCTCTGCCTCCCCTCCCCTCCCCGCGCCCCGCTGGGACCCCCTCGAGGCCGCGTCCCCGGGCCGCTCCGAGCCGTGGCCCGACGGAGCCCAAGGATGGAAAGGATGGAAGGTAACGGCTCCACGGGGCCGCGCTCTCACCGCCTTCCTCCTCTTCCTCTTCTCCGCTCACTTGCTCTGCTTTTCTCTGATTTAACCGACTAATCACCGCCTTGTCTCCTCACTGCCTCACTCTCGGCACTGACACGGCACCGGGGCCGGTGCTGACCCACGGCTGTGGGTCACGGGAGGCACCGGGGCTGGTGCTGACCCACGGCTGTGGGTCACGGGAGGCACCGGGGCCGGTGCTGACCCATGGCCGTGGCTCCTCGCACTGAAACAACACCGGAGCCGGCACTAACCCATGGCCATGGCTCCTGGCTGGCACCGGAGCTGGTGTTAACCCACAGCCACGGCTCCCGAGCCGGCACTGACCCACGGCTGTGGTTCTCTAACTGGCACTGACCCACGGCCGTGGCTCCTGACCTGGCACTGACCCACGGCCGTGGTTCTCAAACTGGCACTGACCCACGGCCGTGGCTCCTGAGCCAGCACTGACCCACGGCCGTGGCTCCTGACCTGGCACTGACCCACGGCCGTGGTTCTCAAACTGGCACTGACCCACGGCCGTGGCTCCTGATCCGGCACTGACCCACGGCTGTGGTTCTCTAACTGGCACTGACCCACGGCCGTGGTTCCCGAGCTGGCACTGACCCACGGCCGTGGTTCTCAAACTGGCACTGACCCACGGCTGTGGGTCCCGGGATGCACCGGGGCCACCCCAGCACCGGGCAGCGCCCGCCGCTCTCACGGCATGCCCCGGGGGTGGGCACTGCATGGGAGACTCCGCTCCGTGCATGGAAAGGGAAGGGTTGGAGCAGGATCCGGTGGTTTGGGATCATCCCGGAGTTGGGTCTGGCCCCGTCCTGGCCCTCCTGAGATCCGAGCTGGGCTCTGGGCTGGAGAGAGTCTGGAGAGCGGCTGGGATGGAGCAGGGCATGTCCAGGATGGAGCAGGGTACAAAGAGCAGGAGGAAAACGCCTGGAGAGCAGATGGAATGGTGCAGGGCATGTCCAGGGTGGAGCAGGGAATGTCAGGATGGAGCAGGGAACGTCAGGATGGAGCAGGGAATGCCAGGATGGAGCAGGGAACATCAGGATGGAGCAGGGAACGTCAGGATGGAGCAGGGATTGGCAGGATGGAGTAGGGAATGTCCAGAATGGAGTAGGGAATGCCAGGATGGAGTAGGGAATGTCCTGGATGGAGTAGGGAACGTCAGGATGGAGCAGGGAATGCCAGGATGGAGTAGGGAATGTCCAGGATGGGAAGAGCAGGAGGAAAACGACTGGAGGAGGGACTGGGATGGAGCAGAGAACGCCAGGACAGAGCAGGGAATGTCCAGATGGGATATCCCTGTGGAATGTCAGGGCTGGACAAGAGGGAATTGAACATCCCTGTCCATTCCCTGTCCCTGCTCTGGATCCCTGTGGGATGTCAGAGCTGGAAAAGAGGGAATTGAACATCCCTGTCCATTCCCTGTCCCTGCTCTGGATCCCTGTGGAATGTCAGGGCTGGACAAGAGGGAATTGAACATCCCTGTCCATTCCCTGTCCCTGCTCTGGATCCCTGTGGAATGTC